GATGGGAAGGGCTGGAGTGGCAGAATAAAAAGAGCTTTCTGGCCTGGGTGGTCTAGAGTTATGTTAGATGGGGGAGCTGGGAAGAGGAGCCTTATGCTAGAAGAGGCAATGGAGCAGCTTTTATTTCATGTCTAACAAGAAGCTGAGGTTGGTGTCAAAGGGGTTCTGCAGTCATTTTGCAAAAAAAACCAAAAAAACCCCAAAAGCAAAACACACTAAGAGCTGATATTTTTTTTCTTTTGTACAGTAGAGTTGCTCTGGAGGGATCTGGGAATTGTTGGAGGTACAGAGATGGTCTCAGAAGGCAGAATAGCCAATCCAGTGGTGCATTAAGGTGATTTGTGTTTGATGTAATGGCAAGTCATCTGTGAGTGCTTCACAGTTGGCCTCTGGTGCTCTTCAGTACAGGAACCACACCGGGAAGGATTTGCACAAAACACAGCTAGGACCTCTGTGATATGCAAATGAGTGAGATGTCTGTGACTTTTAAAAACTAACTTTCGCATCAGAAAACAAAGTCAGGAGCTGAGAGGGAGAACTTTTCCTCCTGGAACACCGTACTCCTAAACAATCTGGATGATAGTGGCTGCTGGTGGCTGAGGTAGCTGAAGGACACCAAGACTGCAAGAAGTGGATCATTGCTGGGATACAGATTAAATTTCAATAAACACTTTGTAATTAAATGTTTTGGAGCACCCCTGAGCAGCCTGGGGAATGTCTCAGCTATGCTGTGACAGATACAATAGCCCTGAGGACTGTGAATATTGGCAATTGATTTGAGGCAGAAGGGATAATGGAAAGGGAAAACAAAAGGTCTGTTTATAGTCCAGTGTGCTTCTGCATGGATAAAGCTTCAAACAACCACCCTTTCCCTGCTGGGCCTTCACTCCTGCATTTTTAAGGTTCTCAAACTTGCAGATATCTTTCTTACTATCTCAGTTTAGTGCTCAGGGTCAACCAAAACCCAGCCAAGAGAGCTGCTCTCTGTCACCCCCCTCCACCTCCCCAGGGAAGATAAAAGGGGAAGAAGGAAGAGACTTCAAGCGTGGGAGGTAAAGCCAGAAGGGGTTTACAGGAACAGGGAAGGGGCAGTGACACTTGGGACAAGGAGCAAATGCACAGATCCAGACAAAGCCCCATCTCCACGATGGCTGATGTCACACCAAGACTGCAAGAAGTGGATCATTGCTGGGATACAGATTAAATTTCAATAAACACTTTGTAATTAAATGTTTTGGAGCACCCCTGAGCAGCCTGGGGAATGTCTCAGCTATGCTGTGACAGATACAATAGCCCTGAGGACTGTGAATATTGGCAATTGATTTGAGGCAGAAGGGATAATGGAAAGGGAAAACAAAAGGTCTGTTTATAGTCCAGTGTGCTTCTGCATGGATAAAGCTTCAAACAACCACCCTTTCCCTGCTGGGCCTTCACTCCTGCATTTTTAAGGTTCTCAAACTTGCAGATATCTTTCTTACTATCTCAGTTTAGTGCTCAGGGTCAACCAAAACCCAGCCAAGAGAGCTGCTCTCTGTCACCCCCCTCCACCTCCCCAGGGAAGATAAAAGGGGAAGAAGGAAGAGACTTCAAGCGTGGGAGGTAAAGCCAGAAGGGGTTTACAGGAACAGGGAAGGGGCAGTGACACTTGGGACAAGGAGCAAATGCACAGATCCAGACAAAGCCCCATCTCCACGATGGCTGATGTCAGTGCCTGAGGGTCCTTGCAGCTGGGCTGACCCAGGGAGAGGGTCCAGGGCTCCTCCCAGCACCCGAGGGACTTGGATTCTGCAGAGCAGCTGTTGAGCTGATGAGAAGGAGCAGAAGCCTGTCTCCCAAGTGTCTGAGCACAGGGATGCAGCAAGGAAGAAGGGCACAGGAAGAGGCAGAATTTCCCACTCTCCTGGCTTTTCCAGGGCACGGCAGGAGAGGGGAGGGAGACCTGACCCCTCTGTGTCCTGCCCCTGGGATCCCTCAGGGTCCTTAACACCTTCTCTCATCAGATGGGTGCCATGAAACTCCCCTGTGCCCCCTCAAGCCAGAACCCTTACATAGAGATAAAACGTGTCATGTCCCTGATCTCCTTGCTGCAATGGATGTGCCTCTGCAATCCCTCCTTCCTCCAGTGAGTTCTCAAAGTGTTTCCCTGGCTGTGGGAGCTGAGCAGTGTGGAACCCTCAGCTCTCCTCTTCCAGTTTTGATCTATTGTCCCTTTGTCCTCTCACTCCCTGCCCTTGTCCCAAGTCCCTCCCCAGCTTTCCTGGAGCCCCTTCAGGCCCTGGAAACTGCTCTCAGGTCTCCCTGGAGCCTTCTCTTCTCCAGGCTCAACACCCCAACTCTCCCAGCCTGGCTCCAGAGCAGAGCTGCTCCAGCCCTCCCAGCATCTCCATGGAAGGAGAGGGGGAGAAGATAGAAAACCAAGAAGTCTTCTCCCCTAAGGTTATCCATGTGGTCAGCATAGTCAGTAAAATGCATGCATTTGGAATGGTTTATGTGTAGTGAAAAATTGTTTTGCAAGGCAGCCATGTGTAGTTACAGTATTTCTGTAGGAAGAGATCTTAATTTGCTTTGTGAAAGGGACATGGGCAGTTTACCTGCTGTAGATACAGTGGAGGAGGAGGTTCAGTGGTTGCAGGAAACAGCAGAAGGGCTGTTAGAAGTAAAATCAAAACAAATCAGTGCTGATTTTTTTTTCTCATGTTTGAGAGGAGTTTTTTGAAGTTTCAAATTGGTCAGTTAGTTTTCTGGAGCACCTTAGTTTCCTTGGAGCTGCAGGTGGGACACCTGCCTTAACACAAGCAAACTTCCTTAACAAAATGAAGTTTTAAGCTTGGGAGCAGGATTACCTGGGCAGGAGCCACTGTGGCTAAAATCCAAATGTTGCTATGGCAAAAATGGCCCCTCTTGGGGTTTGTAAAAGTGGAAGTGATGTGAAGCACAGCAGGGTGTCCCTGCTGAGCAGAGTTGTGCCCTTTCCCAGCAGCTGGGCCTTGAGTAAAGCTTTGCTCTGGAGGAGCAGTGAATCGATTTCAGCTCAGAAAATGGATTAATTGATAGTATTTCTCAAAATAAAACAAAGTTGTAGGAGCCTAACACCAAGGGCCTTGCAACTGTTAACTTTAGAAATCCTTTAATCCTGTTGTAGAGGCTTATGTCCTGAGCTGGACACTGGTTCAAATGCTGTCACGGGGTAGGAACCAGCTCAGGCTGAGCTACCACATCTTATCCTTAGAAGTGGTGAGATGGTGATGTTGGAATGATTCTAAGAAGAGATAAGGGAGAGAGAGAAAGGCCTTGAACACATCTGCTGAGCAGAGGTACCCAAAAGTATGGTGCTCATGTCAACCTGATGAGATGATACCTCCTTCAACAGGAGGAGACAGAAGTGGGTGGATGGATTCAGAAAGGGGTGACTTGGGCTTGGGGAGGAAATTAAGTCTGGCCTGAGCTGAGGGTGATGTGACAGCACACAGTGTCAGCAGAAGTGGTGGAAGAGAGAAGGACAGAAGTGACAAAAAGCTGTGGGCCAGGGAAATTGGAGTGAGTCCAAGCAGGAGTTTGAGGAGAAAATGGTGAACACTGCTCCTGTGTTGGCGAGCTGATGAGGGTGATTTGTCAGGGCCAGAGAGGGTAATGATAGAAGAAGGGATTAAAGTCAAGGGTCTGAGTTGTTCTAGGGGATGTTCTGTATTACTAAATCTGTTAGAGGGTTGGAAATTGCAAGTTTAAGGGCCTGAAATTTAAAATGACATTTTGCAGTAGGCTGAAGAGGGTCAAGAGCACTTGACAGTCATCCTGCAGTGCTCCAGCCTGGCTGCTGGTGACAGTGGGACCAAGGCTTTGCAGGCATGGATTTTGCCAGTCAAACTGCCTTGGCAGAGGGGGGAGGGCCAGGAGATAGGGACCCAGGGTGCCTTTTTGTGCCACAGAACTTTTTCCCCAGGTTGCACAGCTGCTTGATTCAAACTTACTGGAGTTGATCTGAGCTTGTATTAAGTCTTGAGGTTTGTTTTTTTTTATCACTTCAACATTGAAGCTTATTTTCATTTGAGAATATTCAGAAGTGCTCTCTGCATTCTTTTGTTTCCAAACAGCTGGCAGTCAGAAAACATGACCATGTTGTCCTAAAATCTCAAATTTCAAATGCTCTAAAAATGTTAAGATTAGTCTCTACAAAAGGTCTGTTACTCTACTTTTTGTCTTCTGTATCCTGTGCTAAAACCTTTTCATTTTCAATTGAGTTCAAGAGCACCCTGTACCATCTCAGTCCTTCCTTCCTGGGTTTTCTTTTAGCATATCCAAGCTGGCATTTTGGCAGGTTTCAGCGTGTATAGATAAAGAGGTTACAGACACTTTGCTTTGCCCTCTGGTGCTGAAAAGCAGTAGTTGGTTCATGTTACAGCTACTCAGACTCTAGGGAAGGAGGATTCTTCTGCTAGTGCGGTCACTGTGCATTTGCTGCAGTGATGTTGTTCATCAAGATGGCCTAGAAGAAAACTGTTGTGTTTTTTTTTTTTTTAATTATTTTTCTGTATTTTTTTGCAAGGCATCCATGTGGGACTGGCACAGCCTGGCTGGCCAGAGGGGAGCAGCAGGCATGTGTTTTTTTGGAGCTGTGCTTCTGGCTGGCCCTTAGTCTGACTCCACATCCCCCACACTGGTGGTGCTAAGAGTCTCTCCTAATAGTTGTGTCCTATGAAGGTGACATCAGTGATGGAGATTCAGGCACTTGGAAGCAGGAGGAGCCTTATCCCATCACCCGCTCCATAACCTGGGTGAAAAACCTTCCACTGAGTGAAGAATCTGGCGGTGGTTTAAATTTGTCTGTGAACTGTATGCAAGCATAAATGGGATTGTGTTTTCTTTGTGCAAGCCTAGAACAGAAGCAGAAAGAGCAAATTCCTTGCAGCTGCCATCAAGTAAGAATGATCTGCTCAGCTACTTCTGTCTTTTCAGTGTGGGTCTAGAAAATTGGCTTTCTGCATCTCCATTAGCCTGGAGACATGCCTTGGACATCCATGGTGAGGCTTCCTGCATGCTGATGCCAGGTCTGTGGGCTAAATAAGCAGTCACTCTGTTTCCAGAGCTGGAAAGTAACTCTTATGCAGTTGCTTCTGACACTACCTTTTTCACATGTCACCTTTGGCAAGGTCTATTCATCAGTGGATTCACTAAAAATGGGGGGTTTTAGCTTTTTTTTTTTTTTTTTTCCCCCTTAAACAGGAAAGGAGGAGGGCAGTGGTACAGGTGGTAAAGCAGTGGGAGAAGGCAGCTGTGAAGTAAAGGAGTGGTAGAAGGGAAGGATTTGAAACAAGTGGCTGTTCACTGCAGAGCAGAAAATGTGGTCAGACCTGGTGGGGAGATCTGAGTGTTCACCTGCATGTGCCTTAGGTGCATCTAGGCTGGTTGTTTTCCCCTTCAGTGCCTGTGTTCTGCCCGTGGGGTTTCCTGCAGGAGGATCATGTGTAGGTGCTTCTGGTAGCATCACAGAGACATTAAGACTTTGAGGCATGAGTAGATGTTATTTACTGCTTTGTAAATCCTCATCCACCACAGCTTATCTGTGTCAAGGGGTCTTAGGAAACAGACCAAGCCATGTTCTTCAAGTGTTTATTGGTTGTGAGCTTAGCTAGAAGGTAGCACCTAAGACAGGTATTAAGGTCCAAGCTGGGTGCTAGCTGGAACTGGGTCACCTGTCTGAGGCTCTGGAGCAGGAGGGAGGGCTGCAGGTGTTGGCTGGGATGTGTGGGGGAGCTGGCACAGGGCTCAGCACAGATCCTGTGGATGCATCTTCTGGCGCTGGAGAGAGGGTTTTGGGCTTCTCTGTGAATGGGGCAAGAAGCTTGTGGAAGGGGGCATGTGTGTGGAAGAAAACTGATTCCCTGCCTTCCCATGCTCCTGCACATTCTGGGACTTGCCAGCTCAGAGCAGTTAGTTAACACGTGTGGAGCTGGGCAATGTTAGGGGAAAGATGCTCGGTTCGTTTTATTAAGAGGGTGCCTAAACCAGGGGGAGAGATTGTTGTGAACCAAGTTCAAAAGCACTTGTTTTTAAGATAATCTCTTCTGTTCTCATGACTAGTGTCATGCCCAGAGTCTGCTGACTCCTTGGCTGAGGTGTGCAAACATGCAGCTTCTCTTCAGGGCTTTCTCATCTCCTTTCATTGTCCTATTTGTTGGTTGCTGGTAAGGATAAAGTAGATCTGATAAAGGATTGTGGCAAGGACTTCCCTATTTCTGGGAAAGTGTGTATCAGCTGTAAATAATGCTGGATGTTTGCTGCTCAGAAACCTCCCTCTTTGCTGTGAGGGAATATAGCAAATTCCTTTTCAGTGTGTTGCAGCCACATACCAGCCAGGGTGCTCTCTACACCTGGAAGGTTGAATATAAATCAGAAGAAGCTTCTCTGGAACAAATGTACTGACAACAGGCTTGTGGTGCTGCTTCCTGATGCAAACAGAAGTTTATTTTCTATTATGGATTAATATCTTTGCAGTGTGTATTTTCTTCATACAGGCTCCTCAACCTTCTTTTGCAAGTATCACTCAGATAGGAAAAACAAACTCTTTGCCTCCAAGCTTATCTCAAGCTGAATGCAGTATCTTTGTTCT